GGAAAATCCATCTACCTGTGTTTATCCTTTAGTCTCTGACCCAGCAGGTAACGGAAACTTTGCTGAAAGTCATAAAAAAAATTGTGACTTTTTTTTCATAACACAATCTGGGTAATGGCTATGAAAAAAAAAAGTGTGGGCCCTATTATCAGCTCCACGGGGGAGGGGATGATGAAAGGGAGTGGGAGGGGATACATCTTTCAGCGATTCTCATGTTGCGTTACTGGAATCACAATGTGTAATGTAGGGAAATTACATTCCGGGAACCTGAAACTCGACTTGGCAGGTGAAGTAGAGTCTACGTGTGTCTGTGTGGCGAGTGCAGTACTCGAGGTCGCCTACTTACGGCGAGTTAGGCGCTCTTTAAAGATGAGAGGGTTTCGGGTGCTTGGCGAAACAAAACTAATTAGGACGGGGATTTGAGCTCAATTGCACTGGGTACTTAGCCGTACGCTTTTCTTACTTGCCACACCGGTTTATTATACACTAGTTTGTTCTCGAACATAAGTAGGCCTACATACTCACTCTCACATACACAATCAAACATACAGGCAAACTCACAACATAGGCGCATACACACATACACACATGCACACAACCACACATATGTATATAATATATATATATATATATATATATATATATATATATATAGAGAGAGAGAGAGAGAGAGAGAGAGAGAGAGAGAGAGAGAGCAGCCGATCAAACACTATTTTCTATGAAAGACTCAATGAAATTATCAATGACAGAGTCAATGATAACTACCGCTCTCCTGTATTTTTCTCTCGAGAAACTCAATGATAAAGCGTTAGTAGTTAAAGAGAGAGAGAGAGAGTTTATCAAAACGGAAGTAATTCAACTCGTTTAATTAATAAAGCGTAATTATTAATTCTTAATTTCTCAGCGATTGATAAAATTGCTTAGGGACAGTTTAACTATTTTTAAAAAATATAGATCCTCGATCTTCATTTATAATTTATTAATTAAAATAAGATTTTTTTAAAATAATTAAAACAGGTCTTTGTACTATATTATTTAAAAAAACAACTAATGAATATAATAAATAATTTTGACTATTTCTCATTCTAAACCTATCGAATATCTTTTTTTTAAATGCAAGGTAATCTTTTATAGAACCTGCATGATTAACTCTTCTTCTAATAATAAAAAAACTCTAAATAAAAACTATTATTCCTACAAATATAAGAGTAGGCTCCCTTGACAGTTTCTATTCGAATGTATTTTGTGTTAATTTTCGTTATGAAATACAGTTGACTTTTTAAATTAATTATATAAGAAAACAATCTATCTCTTTGTATATTGATTTTAAAAAATTTATTACAATAATTAGTAAAGGTGTTTCTGGTTAAATAGCAATTATTCGCATTCTAAATCTTTGGCTATCGAGTTTCATGGGTTTTTAAATTTAAGAACACATTGGCTTGAAGAAAATGATTATATACACTTAAATACATACTAAAATTTACTTTTGTTAATAAACCTACACTATTTTATGCACACATACAAAAAAAGAATATTTTAGCGGCAGTTACAACGTCAAAAAAAAAAAGAAAAGAAAGGAAACTCGTTTATACTGAATAGTTCTTCGTAACAACAAAAATGTAAAAATACATAGTCTTAGAGCACACTAACACATACATATATACATACGAAGATATGTGTGTGTGTAAGTAGGATGTGAGGTGGGTAGACAGGCGGGGTGGAGGGAAAGCAGTTTGGCAGGAATAACGGTAGGTAGGAAAGTAGGTAGGCAGGCAGCAGCGCAGGCAGGTTAGTAGATAGGTAGGTACGTAGGCAGGGAGTTAGGTATGTAGGTAGGTGGGCCTAGGTAGGAAGGCGCCTCACTCGGTATAGTGAGCGATTATAGTAGTCCATCATATTCATAGCGTTTCGCAATTATTAAAACGAACAAAGGTACCATAGTACTCACGGGAAAACCCGGGGAGCTAAATAGAACCCTGCCGGGGCGCCACCAAATCGAATTTTTTTTTGGCAGAAACCACCACAGGGGTATTAGCATTAGCTTCTCAAATTTGAATGACAAACGAATGAAATCTTTGGTAATGCTTCAACAAACAAACCCACATATTCGTTTTTGGGGCGCGGGTTTGTCCACACTGCCGCCTAGACGCACCAAGGCTCACTGTATGAAAGCCTTGAGTGTACGTTAATCAACCTCTGTAATAGTGAGGTAGAACACACATTGACGACCGCCCATGTGTTAGAGACGCATCCCTTGGCGCTCCGGGGAGCCACTGGTTATACTTCCGCAGGGGCGCCCCTAATTCGGTTTAATTATAAAATATCGTGTGCCACCGTGTCCCTATTGTAGGGTGCTCTTTAAAGAGGCACTCTCGGTAGAGCCCGGGGCGCTCGATGTCGCCAACTGCCAGGGCGCCGGCGGGCGCTCATTATTCTACTTAGTGAACATTTATAGTAGCCCATCTAAACCGTAGTGTCGCCCAAGGTGGGTCTCGACCGCTCTGGGCCACTCAACCGCCGGGGAGCTGGCGGATGAACCTGGTGTAGTTTTATCACTGAATCTCAGAGGCGTAGCACCATTCCTAGCGCCTGGGGACAAATTTTCAATTTGGCGTACCCCCCCCCCCCCCGTAATTTTTAAATATTTATAATGCAAAACTGTAGCTAAAATGAGCTTTTAAATTTTTCCCAACCATTTTGTCGCCTAGGGTTGGCGCCCGGGGACATATGTACCCCCCGCCCCCCTCGCTACGCCTCTGCTGAATCTAGTATTACACTTAAGAATTTTTTTCTTTCTTGAAACCCTTTTCACCAACTCCCCAAAATTTTATGACTCTCGTACGAACAGTGTCAAATTGCATCTGGCTTTTATTTTTATGGAGAAAAATTGCATTGCTTCCTGTCAGAGACCCCAGATCGAATGGGGCGCCAAATGGGTAGACAATTTTTAAAAAAATCCTCATTCTTCAGTAAAATTTAAGAAAACAGATTTATACATTATTGATATCCACAATTATTTTATATAGGGGAGTGTATGTAGGGATGGGCGCCTTTTTGCCAGCGTTTGAAAAGGGTTGGCACAACATTGATAGTTCGCCCCGGGCGCCGGTATAGGTTTCTACGTCTCTGCTTCCTGCTAGGGCGCCGCCCTGGCGAAATTTTTCCGGGGGGGGGGTCGTGCGGACACTGTTAAAAGTATATATTGTTTCTATATAAATTCCGTTTCGTTCGGGGGTGGGGGGAGTCGATAGACTTTCTTCGGGGGTGGGGGCTCTGCTTCACCCCCCCCCCCCGAATAGATTCCTGGAAAAAACTCTGTTCACAAAGTTTTATGGCGATCCGCCGATGAAAAAGATGTAGTAATTCATATAGGACAAACAGATAAACATACTTTCATTTCTATAAATATAAATAGATATATACTTTAACTAGTGTCCGCATACCCGCACCCGGAAACTTAGTCACAATTTTCTTTGTTACATTTGAACCCTTTAGGTTAATCAATATTAACAAAATTGAACAAGATGCAACAATTACAGTTAACCAAAAAATTGAACAAGTAAAATTCACGTTATCTTTTTATTGTTTTTAGATATAGAGTAGTAACAGACTACCTACAGGTCCTAACTCGCGACGAGGTACACATTTGTAAACACAGATCTAAGACATTTTCCATTTAGGTGGGTTTTGCAGTACAGTGGTTTCTTAAGTCGTGGACAAGTGATTGCGCTTATCTCTGTTGAGTAGCTATGTATTCTGTCCTATATTAGACACATTTGTAAATATCTGTCACAATATGGGCATAGAGATGATATAACGATATCTTATCTTTGCGGACGACGCTAAACTTTGGCATCGACACCACGGCCTACAAGTTCAAATTCGGTCCTTCAGAAATGTTTGAAGTCTCTAGATTAAAACTACTTTTCTCTTTTATGTGCCTACTGACCACATCACATGTAGGCCTATTTGTTCTGAAAGTCTAAAAACAGAGGCACAAATATATCGTCTAGACTTGTGAGGTCTACAGATTAGGTATTTTGGCAGTTATCTAAGCCCTTGCCTGTTCTAACTCAAAGCCTTATTCTTTCTCTATCGACGCCTTGCGTAACATGGGATTGGGTTTTTAAGGCGGCATAAAGCTTTATGTTGTTCCTTTTTTAGTACACTAGATTAAAAACTAACGTTTTTAGATGCCTAAAGATGTTTAGCCACTAATTAATCAGAATAATGGGTCAAGATTTCAATTCTTGGTTTTGGGACACGTTAGTTGCCAGGGTTGAGCTAATGTCGATAGCATAAGGACTGTACCTTGATGCGGGCGTTTTATTTGTTGTCCATCGTAATAATTGAATGGTTGATGGGGCTTCTTCAAGGGTTTAATTTGCCGTAAAGTTAATGATATCATGCATGTGAGGCTTTTGTAAGAAGAAAATGCATTAAAACACTTTTTAGTTATGCTTTTTTTTAAACAGGCCTATATTTTACGACAATATAATCGTAATGAACAATAAAATGAATTTAAACAACTTTAGAATACACCTGTTTCGGCTAACATGAATGTTATTCTTCAAACTAGTAATGTTAAACGTGTCTTTTTCGCATTTTCGACTTATAAGCAATACAGTAAATTCCGATAACGTCCATATGCATACAAGCAATGGCGTAGGCGAGGAGGGGTTTAATAGCGATTTAATAATGATACTTTCTTAACCCTCTACTGGACATCATGTTTGGTACCTTGCCCCCGGCAACTGGGTGGATTTGGATTACACCCAAGTTTTACTTCATAGTAAATGGCTTCAGTTTTAATTATTGGAGTTGGTAGCAACATTGACACAGTTGAAGGTATTCAGAACAAGGTGGCCAGGAGAAATCACATTAATTAGTATAAAATTTACCATTACTAACAATAGGCCCTACTTAATTGTTTAATGTTGCTGGATATTAAGCCTGGTAGGTATTTATGTTTATTAATTTGTACAGAAACAAAAAAAGGATTCCCAAACAAAGTTTTATTTTTCAGAAATAAAGAAAATGATACAAATCAATAAAGAACAGTTTTCAAAAGAATTTGTATAAAAGTAATTATTATAAAATAGGAATATAATATTGCATAGATAAAAATGAAATACTTGACACAAACAATATGAGGAATATTTTTTATCAGAGAAGAGAAAAATATATGATGTAGTTTGAAAATAATAATGTACAGAATGTAGCTTTTGCAGATTAAAATGAAAATTCTCATGCCTATATAATTTATTGAGTAAATGAAGCAAGGCCCAAAACACTAGGCTAAATAATATGCATGGGACAGGCATTGAAAACTACAAATTGCATATAGTGAAGGTTACCCTATTTTATTGGCTGTATCCACCACAGTAAAGATAATTGTTCTCGGCACATGTTGTCATTTTTTGTGTTCTTGGCACATGTTGTCATTTTGTGTGTTCTGGGAACATGTTGCCATTTTGTGTTTTCTGGGCACATAATGACATTTTGTGTGTTCTGGGAACATGTTGTCATTTTGTGTGTTCTGGGCACATAATGCCATTTTGTGTGTTCTGTGAACATGTTGACATTATTTGGCTGTGTTCTGGGAACATGTTGCCATTTTGTGTGTTCTGGGAACATGTTGCCATTTTGTGTTTTCTGGGCACATAATGACATTTTGTGTGTTCTGGGAACATGTTGTCATTTTGTGTGTTCTGGGCACATAATGCCATTTTGTGTGTTCTGTGAACATGTTGACATTATTTGGCTGTGTTCTGGGAACATGTTGCCATTTTGTGTGTGCTGGGAACATGTTGCCATTTTGTGTTTTCTGGGCACATAATGACATTTTGTGTGTTCTGGGAACATGTTGTCATTTTGTGTGTTCTGGGCACATAATGCCATTTTGTGAGTTCATGGAACATGTTGACATTATTTGGCTGTGTTCTGGGAACATGTTGCCATTTTGTGTGTTCTGGGAACATGTTGCCATTTTGTGTGTTCTGGGAACATGTTGACATTATGTGGCTGTGTTCTGGGAACATGTTTGTTTCATTTTTAAATATTATAATAAAACATTTTTAGAAATTCTATATTAGGAATTGTGTATATATATAAATTTATATATTTAATAAGACAATTGGATGAATTATAATAAACAGCAAAAATGATTCAAATAAGTTTAGAAGTATTTGGCTTGATGTCCCAACAGTGAACTGTATTCCGAGCTTGTTTCCCTAGTGATAACCCATCTTTTTAGTGCCACCCTTCCAATCAAATATCCAGCTTTTTCTTGGCTGTATCATAAGCCTTTGTCATAGACTTGCTTGATTTGTGTATCACAATATGATTTTGAATGTTTTTCTGTAAATGAAATAAAGGCAAAATATTATGATACATTCTTTTGTGGAACTAACAAGAGAAATAAAGTACAAATTAATATTACTATCTCTACTATTTCTTTACTATAACTAATTACTTTGAAAAAATAAAGCACTGAACATGATGAATAACAAGAAACAAAATTGATCAGCAAAGATAATTATAGATTTAAAATTTTGTTCATTCATATTAAAAGATTAATGAAGTAGACTATCAATATTTACCCTCTTGATTGCTGATACTTTGATTTGATGTCTTTACTTTAAGCTTACACATCAGTCTCTGTGTGGTAAAATATGAAATAATATGCTTCAATAAAACTGTTTAAGTATATTAATTACATTAGATAAGTACATAGTTTTGAGGTCTACAACAATATGTGTTTCAATTATCATTTAAATATAATACCCGCTATGTTGTACAACTCACTGATTTATTAGAATTTAAGAAAAGACAATAATTAATACAATATTTTGGTTTAAAATCCATTATATTTATTTCAAAATATAATGCTATCTCTTGCTATAATAATTACTTTAAATAATGGATTATGCCTTCAGTACAGTTACCTGGGGATGAAGCTAGGCACAGTGTATAGTCCACAGAGACTGATTAATATCCCTTGTAATTGAACATCAGTTGTAGTTATGAAATCTGGATGGCCAAACACACACTCATAGTCCTGAAAAGCAATTTACACATAGATTAGCAAGAATATCTCACCAATTATTAAAGCTAACCCCTATTTAGTGCAATCCATCAAAGTAGTAGCATTTTTGTTAAGTTGTAGACACAATACAAAGTAATGTTTGTTCTGTGATTTACATACTTTTATAAAATAGCAATAAAATTATATATATATATATATATATATATATATATATATATATATATATATATATATATATATATATATACACACACATATATATATATATATATTCATTGTAAATTTTAGTTAGGCCTATGTCTTGTTATTAAATTTATTTTATTTACTCGACTGATCTAAACTCACTTTATTTAAACATAATATAGTGGATAAGTATAGTGATTTTATTATTCAGCTGTAAAAAGCAGGCCTAAAAAATTTTAAATAGTAACTTTGGGAATGAACACATTAAATTCTATTTATTTCAATTTCTATGTCTTTCTAACCCTGACTCTAATTACCATTTATTGGACAACCTGAACCTTTGCGATACCATGTTATAATATATTATTTTAAAAAAGAGCTTACCACTAATTATTAAAATCAATTGTTGTTAGTATTAATTGAGCCGCATACTATCTGCTGCTAATGTCATCACCAGAAATCCAGTATGCTGGCAAGGTTTAGTCTCTAAGTTCCCTACAGCCTCTTTCCTCTTGAGTGCGGAAAACACTGAAATCATTAATCATTATTTCATTATGCCTAATAGTTTAAAGGTAGTATTAAAGTAGTACTAAATAGTACGAGTCTTAGTTACTATAAGTCTAATGAATATTATTATTGTGTATGCTTACATGCTCTAAGTTTTATCCACAATATTGGTATATAATATATAGTCTATAGTATATAGCCTAAGCTATAGAGTATACTATTAAGCCTAAATATAACAGCAGCTTGAATAATGCTCATTATCATGCATTCACTATAAACTATAAAGAAAAACAAATATTTCAATTCAATTTAATTCTAACTAGTAATAGTAAATAGTAAAATAGGCCCTTTTCTTGCGGTAACAAATTTAAAGTAGGGCCTATAGGGCAGTTATAGTATAGGCCTACTATACTTTAACTACGCTTCTAAAGTGCAACTGCTCGACCAGACTGTACAGATAGTTTTGTCAGAGTAATAAGGCTAAAAGCGTATTTTGATCCCATGGTGCTGCTACAATAGAATAAATCAAGTCCATAGCCCAACTATTTAGTCAAATTTAGGTAGACTAATTGCATTTTGCATTACTCTGCTGGCGAGATAGCGGTTGGGGGGGGGGGGGGGGGAGTAAAAATCTTCTTCCAAGTAGTCACGTTGCAAATATAAAGCAAGTAAACTTTCCTCTACTCTCTAGTAACTAATCAATTAAATTGCAATAGTATTCTTGAGGGCCTAAATATTCTAATTAATTAAAATTAAAATGTCCTACCTCCTCTTCTGTAGGGCCCTATGCCCTATAGGGGCCTATTTTTCAAACATTCTTTTAGGCGGCATTATTTGGATTAGGCTATATTTTATTAGACAGGCTACTACTAATGTAAATGCTGTAATTACTACACAGAGTAGCCTAGTAGATCTGTGTTAAATCAAAGAAATGTTTTTAATTCCTGTGCGATTTGTAGTGAGATGTAGGCTAAATTGTTTTTTTCAAAATGGCGGAAATTAGGATGAAATTTCGTTCGTTGCTCCTGATTATAGATTTAAAATACCCCGAGTCGGAGTCGAATTGTATAGGCTTATGATCATTGAATTAGTCATGTGATCTACACAGGAAGTGCTATTATATCAATGAGTCACTCAGTGATCCGATCAATGACAGAATCAGAGATAGCCATTCGCATGGGGTGGAGAGAGAGAGAGAGAGAGAGAGAGAGAGAGGGCAGCATGTGTACTGTATTTTACTGTGTGAAATGAGATTAAAAAACGATGTTTGTATTTTTAAAATATTTTTTGTAGATTATCTTTTGACAAACTGAATAATTGATGACAAAAAATATCCTTAAATGTATCACTTCAACAATTGAACCATGATAATTTGTGATGTGTTGACACAGTTGTTACTGAGTTGAAAATGATATAAACATAACTCATGTGGATTGTCATCGAAATTTTGTACAACCGAGAATTAGAAGATGTTCAATTTTGGAAAAAACTCAACAAAAAGTGGTAGAGATTTATCCAACTTCACCCTACCCCTACCATACACAAAGCACAACAGCAACTGAATAACAATGGCATCAGCTCAGTAAAAACTCTCTGTCAACATTTACAATGATATGAGCATCAAGCAGACACAATGATATATAGCATCAAGCAGACACAATAATATAGGCACCATCAAATATACACTATGATATTAGCACCAACATATATACACAATGATATGAGCATCAAACAGACACAATGATATGAGCATCAAACTGACACAATGATATGAGCATCAAACAGACACATGAGCATCAAACAGACACAATTATACGAGCATCTAACAGACACAATGATAGAAGCATCAAGCAGACAGACACAATGATAGAAGCATCAAACAGACACAATGATATGAGCAGCAACAAATATACACAATGATATGAGCATCAAGCAGAAACAATGATATGAGCTTCAAGCAGAAATAATAATACAGGCCAACATAAAATATTAATATTAAAGAAATACAAGCTGCACTGCGTGTTTTGATCGATGTATGATGAATTAATTATTCAAGATTCCGGGTTATGAAATATGTTTGTTGTTTATTGTAGGCTTTCTTCAGATTTTCTATTCAACAGATACGATGGCCATGTAAGATGTATGTATAGACATCCAGTCGTCTGTTGGGTTGTGTTTTGTCTATAGGTCAGGTGAATAGACAGGGTAGATAACTGTTTGGTGAAGGATGCAACGGGTAATATTGGGAGTTGTGGAGGTAGGTGATGATGGAAGGATGGGATAAGTGAGAAGTGAATAGTTAGGGTGATGCAGAGGTAATAGAGTGGAGGAATATCAGTGCCTATATATATATATATATATATATATATATATATATATATATAATATAAGGGATAAATATATTTATATATACTTGATATTTTGTGAGGTGGTATATATATATATATATATATATATATATATATATATATATATATATATATATATATATATATATATATACGTATGTATATAAATGTACATATATATGTTCGAATACATATATATATATATATATATATATATATATATATATATATATATATATATATATATATATATATATATATATATATAATATAAGGGATAAATATATTTATATATACTTGATATTTTGTGAGGTGGTAGGTAAACGCCTAGGGGTGTCACAAAAAAACTCGCCATGTCCGGGAAAATTCGGGAAATGGGTCAAAACTGACCAGTCATATTTCCCTATATAATCTTTGTATTTTATGGGAAAAACATAGGGTAATTTCAAAACGGATTTTAGGGCACTTACCGTCTTTACATGTGGCTAATTTTTGTCATGCTTATAGGCAAATGGCTTGGCCGTAGGTCAAACCTGTCTGTTTCACTCAAAGCCCTCGACGAGGGCTAAAAAGTGACAGCGAGTGAAATTCTCTTTATATGAGCTCTATTACGAAACAAACTTTCCTCCCACGACCCCTCTTGAAATTTTGTGAGGTGGTAGGAAAACGCCTAGGGGTGTCACAAAAAACTCGCCATGTCCGGGAAGAATCGGGAAATGGGTGAAAACTGACCAGTCGTATTTCCCTATATAATATTTGTATTTTATGGGAAAAACAGAGGGTAATTTCAACAAAGATTTCAGGGTACTTACTCTTTATATATCTGGCTAATGTTTTGTATACACCTCAATAGATGACTATGCCGTATGGAAAAACTGTTGGTCAGACTCAAAGCCCTCGATGCGGACTAAAAATGACCGCGAGTGAAAATCTCATTATACGAGATTTGCCATTTGGTCTGTGAACAGGGGAGGTAACATTTTAATGTAATAATTTTAAAATATTTTGTATACTCTTTTTGAGAAAAAAAAACAAAAATCATAAAGTATAGCATTGTTTAAATACATATTTTGTTATAAATTAAGTTTTGCATTGTACTGAAATTGTAAAAAATTAATTGCCAAAGTAATTTAATATAATATTTGATTGATACTATTAAGAAACCCCTAGCAGTTCTAATAACCTTACGAGTAATAAGTTTGAGAATATTCCATCAATATTTGATGAGATAATGACACCATTCCACTGTATAAATTTAGGCCCTAAGCATTTAACATAGCAGCCAATCACCTATTAATTAATAATTCAATTTCTTTTTTTTTTTTTTTTTGAAAACCTAAGCGAAGCTAGGCAGTATGCCCAGTATATATATATATATATATATATATATATATATATATATATATATATATATATATATATATATATATATATATATATATATATATATATATATATTACAACAAAAGAGTTAGAGAGGTTGTAATAAGGATAGTGTGAGATAAAGTGATACTGAGATAGAGAGAAAATATGACAGTTCCCTCCATGTCTAACGCGACGGCCACTGAGTCACGTGATTCCACCGTTAGATGAACGTTGAAATGGAAAGAGAGTGCGATGGAGAGGAAGATCCAACGCAAGTTAGCCTGGCCTAACCCTAACAATAAACAATATAAATAATCATCAATGGGCTGACGGTGAACCCCCCCCCCCCTCCCCCACCTCCCACCCTACCCCCCCTCATCTCAACTTCTCTGTCGAATGTCTTTATTTACCCTGGCCTCTACATCTGGTAAGATTAGACAACTCTGGGCCGCGCTGTTTTCGTTCTTCCATTCCCCTCCGTTTGACCCCCATCCCCCCTTATAACAAGGCAATGTTTGTTCGGCGCTGAGAACGGACGCGTTACAAGCTAATCTCGCGGGCGAGGCAAGGGCGACCAGCCTCAATTTCACAACACGAGACAAACAATATAGAAAAGAGAGTTGCTTCCCTTCAGAGAGACGGAGCGCCCAGCCATGATGAGTAATCTTTAGCGGCAGTCAAGCACTAAAAATTGAGTGGTCGGGGTCTGGGTGGGGGGGGTGGGGGGGGGGAGGGGGAGACTGAGGGGGGGTACGGGTGTCTTGACCAAAGATGAATGGTGTCCTAGTTAAGGGATGGATAGCAACGTAGTTAAACGTTGGATGGATGAAGTCCTTATTTGTGGCTAAATGGTGTCCTAATTAAAGGATGGTTGGTGTGTTAAGACAGTCCCTTGGTGATAGGTTGCATAATGTGATGGCTCAGCTGAAAGGTTGGAAACGTGTCCTAAAAGTGAAACGTGTCCTAGACAGTGAAATGCGTCTTAAACAGCGAGATGTGTCTTAAACAGTGAGATGTGTCCTAAACAGCGAGATGTGTCTTAATCAGCGAGATGTGTCTAAAACAGTGAGATGTGTCTTAGTGAGATGTGTCTTAGTGAGATGTGTCTTAAACAGTGAGATGTGTCTTAAACAGTGAGATGAGATTTCAACAGTGAGATGTGTCTTAATCAGCGAGATGTGTCTTAAACAGTGAGATGTGTCTTAAACAGTGAGATGTGTCTTAAACAGTGAGATGTGTCTTAAACAATGAGATTTGTCTTAGTGAGATGTGTCTTAAACAGTGAGATGTGTCTTAAACAGTGAGATGTGTCTTAAACAGTGAGATGTGTCTTAAACAGTGAGATGTGTCTTAAACAGTGAGATGTGTCTTAAATAGTGAGATGTGTCTTAAACAGCGAGATGTGTCTTAAACAGCGAGATGTGACTTAAACAGTGAGATGTGTCTTAAACAGTGAGATGTGTCTTATACAGTGAGATGTGTCTTAAATAGTGAGATGTGTCTTAAACAGTGAGATGTGTCTTAAATAGTGAGATGTGTCTTAGTGAGATGTGTCCTAAACAGTGAGATGTGTCTTAAACAGTGAGATGTGTCTTAAACAGTGAGATGTGTCTTAAATAGTGAGATGTGTCTTAAACAGCGAGATGTGTCTTAAACAATGAGATGTGTCTTAAACAATGAGATGTGTCCTCAACATAGAGATAATGTGTGTCGTTAACAAAAAAAGCTGTCATTACTCACCCAAACATAACGTGTTTGGTAAAAACAAGTACATATTCATAAAAATCATAATTCAATCAAACTCAGGGAGCCCTAAACTTTAAATCACACGACCTTGAACTTCTCCACACAAGGTCATGAATCTTTTCATAGGATATCATCAGCATATCTGGTAGTGAAATTCATTTTAATAGCTCTTGCCTCCATACCTACGGGCTGATACATAGATGACCATGACCTTCATCACACATGGCTCTGACCTTCACCACACCATCCCTGACCTTCACCACACATTATCCTGACTTTAACAACACATCATAATGACCTTCACATCATCTACGTCAATGACCTTCACCACACACGTCCTGACCTTCATCATCTACGTAAATGACCTTCACCACAAATAGCCCTGACCTATAAATAAGCCTGGCCTTCACCACACATCATAATGACCTTCACCACACAGGGTCCTGACCATCATCGACGTCACTGACCTTTACCACAGATAGCCTTGACCTCCAGCACCCCTCACAACTCCCCCACACAACCCACACATGCTCCTACTCTCACCACCGCGGCCC